TTAGTTTTCTCTTCTTTCTCTTTTTTTTTTAAAAAAATCTTATATAGAAACTAAGAAAATAAGTTAATTTAATGGCAGAAGAGGAGCAATGCAATCAATTTAAAAAGTATCAAGATTATTTTGAAAAACAAAGTGACATTATGAAGAAATATGATGAAACATTATTTGATAGATGGCTTCATGGAGAAAAAGGTGTTATTGATCAACCACCACAACACCAAGGAGAAAGAAGATGTATTGACTTCAATTGTTGCCATTCTGAAATGGATTCAACATATTCTATGTATTGTCAAACAAGTAGAGTTCCTTATTGTCATCAACATTATTCATATACCCGATATCTTCAACCACCAATATTATGTACTTCAAATCCAGGAATTAATATAACTACAAAATTTGTACATACTTCAATTAATAAAAATAAAACACCTGTTTATTGTATGAGATGGACTCCTGATGGAAGAAGAATTGTTACTGGGAATGAAAAAGGAGAATTTACATTTTGGAATGGTCTTCAATTTAATTTTGCATGTTTAAGTGGAGCACATGACACAGCTGTAAGATGTATGACATGGAGTCATAGTGGAGGACATATGGTAAGTGGAGAACAAGGAAGTAATGGAAGTAGTAGTATTATTTATTGGAATCCATCACTTGCACCTGTTGTTACTCTTAAGACAGCACATAGTGAACTTATTAGAGAAGTAAGTTTTTCACCTAATGACCTTAGATTTGCAAGTTGTAGTGATGATAAAACAATTGGAATTTGGGATTTTAATAAACAAGTTTGTGAAATTAGATTTGATGAAAGTGAAAATGCAGTTTATTCTGTTGATTGGCATCCAACAGAATCTCTTTTACTTAGTAGTTCTAAAGGAAAAGTAAGAATATGGGATCCAAGACTAAAAGAAAAAGTAGGTATGTTTTCTCCTCACAAGACTGAAATTAACAAAGTTAGATGGAATAAGAATGGAAAATGGTTTTTAACATGTTCTAAAGATTTTAAAATAATTTTACATGATATTCGTATGTTTAATAAACCATTAATGATTTTTGAAAAACATATGAAAGATGTTACAATTGTCAATTGGCATCCAATTCAAGAAGATTTCTTTGTTTCTGGAGGTGCAAATGGTGTCATTTATTTTTGGGACACTGAACATTCTAAACCTATTGGTGAAATTCCTGTTGCTCATGATGGAGCTATTTGGGATTTACAATGGCATCCTGTTGGTCATTTATTAGCATCTTGTGCTCATGATCAAACTACTAAATTTTGGAGTCGAGATAGATGTGGAGATTCTTTGGAAATTAAGAAATATCAAGGAACAAATAGAGATTATGACCCAATCATTCCAATGTATGATGATGATCTTGAACAACCATATCTTGCTCCTGTATTTATTCCAAATCAAATTAATCCATCTCGTATTAATGGTTTCCATGATATTTAATTAATTTCTTTGCTTGTTTTTATTGAAATATTTACATTATTATATCACTTCTTCTTTTTCATTATTTCTTTTCTAACTAAAATTGAATTTTATCATATTTCTTTTATTCATTTTCTTATTTGAAACAAAATATAATCAATTCCTTTAGACTAGATCTATTTGGTAACTGAATGTTTAATTTTAAGCTTAGTAGTATTGATTATTATCTTTCGTCTTCATTTAATAAAAATATGATTATTTGAATCTTAAAATATTCACATTACTGTGAATTATGGATGAGTCATTGAATTATTATGAGTTTCTTGGTATTTCTAAAGACGCCAATGACCAAGAAATTAGAAAAGCATACAAAGCTAAAGTACTTCACACGCATCCAGACAAAATTAAAAACCCTCAACCAAGTGATTTTGACAAGTTTCATAAACTTCAATTGATTAAAGACACTTTACTTGACACTGAAACAAGAAAAGTATATGATAAAATGATTACAAGTCAATTAGCCACAAGAAAAGCAATAGAAGAGATGGAAGCAGACAGAAAAAAGATGATTAATGAACTTCTCCAACAAGAGAAACAATATCAAGAATCAGAAAAAATAAAAGATTTGTTTAAAGAACATAATAAACGAATTGAAGGAGACAGAGTTGCAAAATTAATCAAAAAATGGTATTTTCATCGACAAAACAAGGCTCCATCATCTATTAAACGAAGTATTAGAATTTTTTGGAGTAATAAAGTACCAAAAGGATATTTTAACAAAGAATTCATCAGACAGAAATGCATGACACTTGGTGATGTTGTTGGTGTTTCTCTTAAGGACCAAATGTGTTTCGTTTTATTTAAGAACGACAACACAATAACCAAAATTGAAATGAAAAATGAACATGGGAATGTGTTTAATGATGAAATGAAAGATTCTAATATCGAAATTTTAAGAAATACATATCTTCATTCTTCAACACAACTAAATGATTTTAAACAGTACGAACAACAAATATTACAAAAGGCTTATATCAAATTAAAAGAAACTAACCCAGGCATAACTAATCCATCTGTTCATACCAAACAAAATACTATTATAATTGATTAACATTAATACAACTTAATCCATTTTCTTATTACCCATTTTCTTAACTTTAATTTCTCTCTTTTTTATCTATTTCAACATTCAAACACTTCACTTTTTACTCTTTATCAATTAATATCTTATTTTATTGTCTTTCTTCTTATTAATGAAAATATTCATCTATCTCTAATTCCTTTCCTTCCTTTGTTCTTTTTTTTATTCCCTTTCTTGTTTTCTTTTGATATGTATAACTTGATTATTTTTTTGTCTTTGAAAAAATATTTTATTTAT